TCGTACTTGCTAAAAGTTATCCTCATCGCCTCAACTTATCCTCTGTTATTGCACCCACCATCACGCCCGTCTCAATGCGTTCCTTTCCTCCGGCCATCGAGGCGGCTAACCAACGGAGAAATGGACTGCGGTCGGTGGCGGTCTAGGCGGGGAGTTGGGAGGTTGGAAGTTGGGAGTTGGGAGTTGGAAGCTCAGGGAGTGTCACAAACCACCGGGGAGAGTGAGGCCCCATTAATACATGGACCCGTGGACCCGTTGGGGCGTGAGCTGGACGGGAGGGATGGAGGTCTGAAAGGGTTTTCAGTGGGTGGGAGTTTATGAGTGCTGAGTGACTGACATGCGGGTGTGTGCATGATGTTAAGGAAAAGATTAGGAAGATCGCCAAGAGTAAGGCATGGGCCTAATAAGCTTAGAACCGCACAATCTAAATGTAGATAAGGATTGGCCTGTATTGTTATGGTATAATATTCCACGGGAGGTGACCCTTTTGGGTCACCCAAAGGAGGAAGCCGAACGGAAACCGAGGGCCGGACAACGAGCAGCTCTAACGTGGTTGAAATGTGTGCCCCTTGAGGGGACACCAAACTTTACGAAAACCAAAGGGTTCTCATCATTGCCTTTAGGGACACACGTACGAAAGGCATATGTACAGCACGTGTTTACGGCACATACAGACACATACGTTGCGCCTTGGTTCGTCGTACCTGTAGCGTGCATCTGGGCACAACTTGGAACGGTGGCGGCTGTGTGTAGCCCCCCACCCCCAGGTTGTACCCGCTGTTCAGCAGGTGGGCCAGGTAGGCGCCCTGCTGGCCGGCAACCTAGCAGCAGCAAGAGGAAGTACGGCACGGCGACACAGTAAAGAAGTCGTACGATGGTTTACGAGGTCAGAGGTCATGCCATTAGTTGGCCATAACTTTAGAGAACATTCATTTACGGCAACAAACAAACATACATACAGAATACATACTTAAATACATGCATAGATACATACATACATACAAAGGGTCTGTAATCTCTTTTGGTCAACTCCCCTCACTGCAACCCCCTCGACCCTCCCCTCCATGGTCAACACAGCACAGGGCCCCCTCCTCTCCCCCCCTCCCCACCCCTCCTCTCCCCCCCCTTCCCCCCCTCCTCTCCCCCCCTCCTCTCCCCCCACCTCCTCTTCCCCCCACCTGCGCCGTTGCCGGCAGTCTGTTCCCCAGCACCAGCGAGCAGTCCCCCAGTGCGAGCAGGTCGCTGGCCCCCACCACACGCAGGAACGAGTCCACACACAGCTTGGAGCCAGGGGAGAGGCGGGAGGCCTAGGGGCCGGAGGGTAGGTGGGGGGGAGGGAGGGGCTCATGGGGGACGTGGAGCCGAGGAGGGGCATGCAAGGGGCAGGTGAGACACCGGAAGTGATGTTGTCAACACTTGGGGCTGATGGACCCGGAGGGCGCGAGTCCCCAGGCAATGCAGGATTGTTGGAACATGATCAAGGAGGCTCGAGGCAGGAAGATGCGTCCTACCCCACAATTAGGACCTTTGCTGATCTGAAATCGCAAGCTACCCTCCCCCCCGCCCCCCCCACCCCACCTCGGCCGCCATTGCCTGTTGAGGCACCTCTGAGGCGATCTGGGTCACCAAGGGCCGGGGCGCATTGCCGGCGGACCACACGCACACTCCGTAGTCCAGCTCTTCCCCCCCTTTGAGCAGCACCTGAACATTTAGGGCGGTAGGGTTCGCGTCGATATATTAAAGAGCAGCGAGATGTGAAAGAAATTTTCGCGCATATTTCCTCCTCCCATCCTCTGAAAAAGAGAAATCTCCTCCCAGTCCTTAACTTTTAGGGTTTTAAGGAACCCTTAAGATAGTAAAACCTTAAAACCCGAAAACCTCGAAACCTAAAATCTTAATGAAAGCCTTCAAGAAAATGTTTACTCTCCAAAGCTATCCAAACTTTAAACCCTACACACACACATACACACACAGCGTTACCTTATCCTTGTTGACGCCCACCACCCGCACATTGGTCCGCACCTCCACCCCCGAGGACGTCAGGTTGCTGAGGGCGTTGCGTTGCAGTCGCTCATCGAACTGGGTCAGGATGGACGACACACTCTGCTTGTGTGTGGGGGGGGGGGGGCGGTAAGGGGAGGGTAGGAGGCTGGGGGTTCAGGTTTGGACGACACACTCTGAAGCCGGAGGGTGAAGGTTGAAGGAGGATGCGGGAGGGGGTTGCGGGAGGGGGGTTTAGGGGTGCTTGGCATGTGTATGTGTGTGTGTGGGGGGGTGAGGGTGGGCGTGTTTTTCTATACCCATACTCCCTCCGCCACGCCACTTCTTCCACACTGCACCCCCTACCTCGGTCCATCCCGCTTCCCTTTTCCCTTCCCCCCACCCTCTCATCCTCTCACCTGCAGTAACGTCACCCGTACGTACGGCATTAGTGCCGGGTACTTCTTCCTGAGGTCCTCCCTCAGAAAGTCGCTCAGAGTACCGGCGAACTCGACACCGGTGGGACCGCCGCCAACCACCACGAAGTTCAGAGCGGCGCGTCTGGAGGCGGAAGGGGGAGGCGGGGGAGGAGGGGGAGGAGGCGGGGGAGGAGGCGGGGGAGGAGGCGGGTTTCGCGTACGAGTTCATGGGCCACCCTGCTTTAACGGATGCCCCTCGCACTTGCAACTTGTGACTTGCAACTTGCAACTTGTAACTTGTAACTTGTAACTTGTAACTTGTCAATGTTCAAGGCCTAAGGGAGTTAGAGAAATGCTTCTGAGGGGTGCGAGAAGCTCACTGAGGGGGGCGAGGGGGGTGAGGGTCGGGGGCTAAGCGATTCACCCATCAGCCGCAAGGAGAGCTCCAACGTGTGTCTCTGTTCATTTGCACAGCTTGCAAACAACGGCCAACGGCTAACTGTCCACTGGCCCCGCCATTTTTCCGCCTTACAGACAGAAATACATACATATGCATGCACACATATGCATGCACACATACACACACACATGCATGCACACACACATACACACACACATGCATGCACACACACATACACACATACACATGCATGCACACACACATACACACATACACATGCATGCACACACACATACACACATACACACATACACATGCATGCACACATACATACACACATACATACACACATGCATGCACACGCATACACACGCATACACACGCATACACACACATACACACACATACACACATACATACACGCATACATACACACATGCATGCACACATACATACACACATGCATGCACACATGCATGCACACATGCATGCACACATACATACACACACATACATACACACACATACACACACATACACACGCATACACACGCATACACACGCATACACACGCATACACACACATACACACGCATACACACGCATACACACCTCTGCTGCTCAGATGTGCCCGGTAGACAAGCCAGCTCAAACTTCTCCGCGATTTTTTTCCTGAGGGCCACCGCATCCGTGACCTCTACCCCCCTCTCCCGGAGGGGGTTCCCGAGCCCGGTCGAGGAGCGGGGGGAAGGGGTGCGGCGAGGTAAAGGACTCGAGTGTGCGTGTGCGTGTGTGTGTGTGTGTGTGCGTGTGTGTGTGCGTGTGTGTGTGTGTGTGTGTGCGTGTGTGTGTGTGTGTGTGTGCGTGTGGTAACAGTGCCGTGTTCGAATGTGAGGTATGGCGGAGTGTGTGTGGGGGGGTTGCGTGGAGACTTGCGGGAGGGGCCTTCATAAGGGGGGGGCGACCTTCATAAATATTACGAATTACGAATTGAGAGGTTCTGGATACACTCTCTTCCCTCCCACAAAGCCCCCCCCCACACACCCGCGCACGCATACACATAGGCTGCGTCAGTCGCAAGACGACAAACGGCCCTCCCCCCCCCTCCCTTTTCACCTTTCATGAAGAAGCAGTGCTCCTTCACTCCCGGAACTCCGAAGGTGGCAGGTTGCTCGCCAACCGCCACAACCGCCTTGTCGTACTGGATCTGCATTTGCCATGGTTTGGACAGCTGCAGGAGGTGAGTGGATTGGACGAGCAACCTGAGGACAGGTAGCAGCGGCCATCCACACAACCGACCAACCCCAACAAAACCCGGCTCCGGACTCCCCCACTCTTTCACTCTCCTCCTTCCATCCCTCCCTCCCGCCCTCACACTCCTACCCACCTCAAACTGAGGTCGCCTGCCGTCGTCGTACGCGAAAGACGAAGTGCAGACAGCCACCTTGGCTGCGAGGCGAGGAAGGTAAGGGGCCAGAGGGGCGGGGGTTATCCTGGGCAGGGACCCTCACCCTGCCCCTCACATGGGGGCTCCCCCCTCCCCCCGCCAAAACCCTAAAACCCCTCTCCCCCCCCCCCCTCACCCTCCGGGTCCAATGTTTCGCACTGCGCCTCCAGGTACGTGACACACGGGTTGGAAGTACGGATGGGCTCCAGCAGGGAGCGGAACTCCACAGTTCCCACCGCGGTGGAGGGGAGCATGGGGGTGAACACAAAGTGGTTGCGGGGAGATACGACAACGACGTCGTACATGTCCGTGTCGATGACCTGCACGAGGGGCCCCGGCAGCAGCAAGGGAAAGGAAATGCGGGTTGAGGGAAAAGCTGAAGGGGCCGATGGGGCACATGCCGTACAACACGTACGCGCCAGGCGGTACGACATCTTCTCCCGCCCTCCCCACCTTAATGAGCGAGTGCGCTCCCCAGCCGCTCCCCAGCACCAGCACCACGGGCTTGGTGGATGAGCGGAGACGCATACGCCCGTTGCCACCTGAATACACACATACAGACACACAGACACAGACACACACGCACAACACCCTGAGTTGAAAGTGGGAAGGGGATCCTCTGAG